ATTTGCTTGTTGCCAGAATCACCGAGGCCGTAACCCCATTTTCTTGTTTGATGAATGAATCATACATCTTGCACGGCCGGACCTTCATTTTCGGGTTAACTACGACGGGCGTGTCCGCGCTCTTCAGGGGAAAATACGCATAACTCGAAAGCGCCTAACTTTTCAAGCGTTTTTTTGACATAAGTGCTCAACCCCTTTATTTATTCTCATTTTGCATGATGTATGTGCTGTTGTTTAGACCAGCGTTTGGAGGAGCCAAGAGTAGCTCACTCTGCTGTAGACCCAAAGCTCTGTGTTATGGGATGTGTACCTGCTCTGCAGCTGCTCTGCTGTAGACCCAAAGCTCCGAGGTATGGGATGTGTACCTGCTAGTATTACTAGTATTACTGTGGTTTAATACTGTAGGGCTTCTCTGGGATGTGACTCAGCTCTAAAAGAGCATTTCCTGTGAGTATGCTCCTCGTTTTGAGGGTATGCGGCTCAGCTGTCTGTGCCTCTGATTGGAAGGTTGTTGGTTCAAATTCTGTCCTCTGTGGACTCGTCACATGTCCGTTGGGCCCCTGATCTGGGCTCTTAACCTCCTGAAAAATGCACATGGGGGGCTGGATGGACGGCTGCCCCTGTGCTCAGACCCCAAGCTTCACTCTCACCTCTATCTGTGTGTGTGTGTGTGTGTGTGTGTGTGTGTGTGTGTGTGTGTGTGTGTGTGTCAAAGGACAGCATGATGGGATATGTGAAAAGAGGCATTCCAGTGTGCTCATGAAAATGAGTGCGTAACATTTCTCTGGCCTGGATGGAACAATCTGCTCCCTCCATGTCTTCCCCCATCTCACTGCCCATCTTTCCCACCAAATGTGCTAAAATGTTCTTATCAATAATCCTGAACAACTTCCACAATAAAAAGCGTATAATAAAACTGCTCTCCTTTGCACTTCTGCACCTTCAGTGGGGTACATGAACATGTCTAGACTTTCTTGTGAATAGACACACAATAGCTGTGTTGGTTGAATAGTCAGTGTATTGCATCTTTACTTAGAGAGCAGATCTGCGGCAGCCCATCCGACAGAAAGAGAGCAGACAGAGGTCAGACTGTAGATGGTCTGTCTTTCTTCTCCGGAGGAGGGATGTTCTCCACCACACAGCTGCCAGAACCCCAGGCTCCAAGCATCTACACCACGTCTACCTACAAGCGCTTCCACCAAAAGCTAATCTTACTTATACAGGCCTTGAATCTCAACAAATCAGTGGGAACAAAGTAAGACATATGTTATAACCAGGAAAAGGCAGTTAATACCAGAATGGGTGTATACTTTAACAACAGGGCTAATAGTAGATGTTAGCTAAAGTTCTCATCCTCCTAATGGGCCTAAAGTTTCCTTCTCTTTTCCTGAGAACAGGTGTGACTCATCAGAAGCCGGGTAGGATAGAAAACCTACTGGATAGTAGCTCTCCAGGACCAGAGTTGTAGACCCCTGGTGTGTTTGGCTGATGAACCATCTACATGACTGTCATTTTCTGAAGTCCTTTTAGAGTTGAAATGAAATGATGATACTATGACACATGTGTAGGTGAGAGTGCAGGCAAAAGCCACCTGCAGCAGTGCCCATGGAGCTGGGGGTTAAGGGTCCATGGGCATGAAGCCAGTCACATTCCGGCAACCTTCCACTCACAGGCATAGGGGCTTAGCCCACTGCGCCGCAAGCTGCCACCTAGTCACTGAGTTACTGAGCAAACCTAACCTGGTACTGGCGTAAGCGGCCTTTGACTTCAATGTGTTGGGTGCTTGTGAAATCTGGATTCCTTAGAAGAAACGCTGTGGTTCGTAGCTCAGAGGTTTCAGACCTCTACTGAGAGACCGAGGTCTTCCTCCTAGTGAGTCACTCCTGGCCTTTTGGTGGCCGTTAGCCGTCACATTGTCCACATGAGAACTGCAGACTGGCAGAAGGAAGCTGTTCGGTTTCATGCCTCATTTCTTCTCCTGCTTCTCCTGTTTTAATTTGAGAGCTCATAAAACATTCTGCATAGCAGCAGGAGAGAACGGCAACATGTGGGAGCGATTGGGAGCAAGTGGGAGCAAGCAGGAGCAAATAGGATCAGGTGGAAGTGAGCAAAAGAAGATGGGAGCGAGGAGGAGGGAACGGGAGAACATAGAGCATAGAACATAGAACATAGAGCGATCCGGAGCAGGTGGGAGTGAGCGGGAGCAGGCCAGAGCAAACGGGAGCAGGTGGGAGCGTGGTCAGCGGTGATGGGCTCTCCGCTCCTCCGCTCCTCCGCTGCTCCCTTGCTCCTGTGGGATCCCTTTTTCATTTGCATCCTAATCGGATGCATCTCTTAATTTTTTTGTCCTATCTCTTCAAATGAATTTTAATTGAAATGCAATCTGAGAATATTGTTTTTTCTGTTAGAGAGGTGTGTGTATGTCTCTCTGTCTGATTTGGTGTGTGTGCTCTGAGTGTATGTCTGTGTATGTGAGGTGTGTGTGTGAGACTTTGTGTGACTGTGTTTGTGACTGTGTGTGTGTGTGTGTGTGATGTGTGCGTGTGCTCTGAGTGTATGTCTGTGTATGTGAGGTGTGTGTGTGTGAGACTTTGTGTGACTGTGTTTGTGACTGTGTGTGTGTGTGTGATGTGTGCGTGTGCTCTGAGTGTATGTCTGTGTATGTGAGGTGTGTGTGTGAGACTTTGTGTGACTGTGTGTTGTGGTGTGATGTGTGTGTGTGTGTGTGCGCGTGATACTGTTTGTGTGTGACTGTGTGTGTGTGTGTTTCATTGACTGAAACAGACGCTGTCTTGCGTAACCGCCCCCCCCTGCTGGTGACCCATCTGAGGTACGGCTCTTTTCCGGCCTTTTCCGCGTGACGGCCTGTGGACCTTGTGCCAGGCTTCTGCTCCTCCGCTCACCGTCCTCAGATCGATACGAGATTCCAGCCGTTCGCTTTCCTAATCGCTTCTGCTGCCGGTTGCTCCCCGGTGTGCGTCGTGCTTCCGGAGCTTTCCACTGCTAAGCACGGCTGCCACCCACCCGCGGGTGAGGATAATTCCCTCTAAATTAAGGCTATTCCTACAGCGCCCCCTTCAGGGCCCTCAGAGGCAGTTGGGGTTGGGGGAGGAAGAGTCCCATACAGACCACATTCAGGCAGAAGTAAGCTATTTACTCACAGAATAACAGCAGCGTTTAAGAAACGCATCACATGACAATCCAGTGATGAACGTCTTTCTGTAACATCTGTAATTCTCTCCCTTAGCATATTACTGCAAACTGAAGTCACCATTTTGACATTTATTTGTAACTAAAAACAACATTCAGTCTATTAATTACATAATTACAGCTGCCCCAGCTGCCTAATATGTGTATTATGTATATTCTATGCAGATTATATTTCTTGGAATAGTAGTCCACTTCTTTTGAACATTTATGGATTTATTGAAAGCACAAATTATTTACACACAGATAATTTTATTAAAAAATAATAAAATAACTTACAAAATATTAATAAATATACCCTTCCACTGCTACTGCTAAGATTTATGTGAACTTACCAGCAGTAAGGAAGCATATCTCTATATAATTGTGGGTGGTATTATGGCCGGAAATCTCTGCCTGGGAGGTTGTGAGGTCAAATCCTAGAACTGGCAGAGGCAAGACCCTTAACCTCTGCTGCAGAGATTCTGGCTGACCATGCACTCTGCTCCTCACTTGTGTGTCATGTTAGACCAAACTACCTGCTAAATGACATAAATAAAGACAGAGAGAGACAAAGATACTTGATCAAAGATAGATGAAGTGTAGAGGGTGCAAAATGACAGGGGTCCTGCATGGATGACGGCTCCTTCCTACATCTACCTGGACTGGAGTTTTAATTATAGAGAAGCTGACTGGTCACCAAATGGTAACTAACACATGTTATCCGATCCCCTGGGGACTCGCTTCTCGAGATCCAGGTTTTAATTTCCTTCCTCCGTTAAACAGTCAAATGAAGAGAGCAGCAGATGCGTCATTACAGGGCCGGAAAGTGCCGGAAGGAGATTTGCTGTAGTACTCTTGTGGGGGTGTCACCGGAAAAAAAAAAAATTATACTATCTCAGAAAAACAACATCTATGTGTATAACAGTGTAAAATCTGTATGCAGCTTTGAATAAAATCACTAGATAAGAGACCTGAGAGCAAAGTGAGGTGTTTTTCCTTCCTGGGGTGGAGGTCACACCTTTAGTATGAATCTTTTGTCAGGATGTCATGTGCGCAAAACGTTTGGAGGTAGGTTAGTTTTTTCCAGACGTTTTAATGAATGGTCATTAGAGTCAATAATTCATCTCTTGTCTTGAACCAAAAGACTTATGACTTCTCTTCAGGCCTATTTGTGTTTAAAGTTTTTAAGATGTTGCTGAGTGAAGCTCTTAAATCGCGTTTGTCATTTTTCATTTTAAATTTTGTTTTTGTTTGAATTGTTTGTATCTGTGGTACAAAAAAGAAGTTAAGTTACAAGAAAAATCTGAGTTTGTTATCGTTACTTTTTCATTCGATTGACTTGCCATCATCTGAGTCCATGTGAGCAGGTGGGATATATTTTAGACATTTCAGAATATTTGATCTTTTGATTGGATTCACATTCGCATTGCGTCTCATTAAGCAGTGAAACAACGATGTTCTTATGCTTGGCCGTTTGGCTCAGTGTGAAGGAACAGGCTGGTATAGATTAGAAATATGTGAAATGTATTCTTGTATTTTTAAAACACAAAATTCAGTAGTTTATTTTGATAATTAGCTTGGTTGCTGTACTTTGTAGTTCATTTTGATACACTTACAAATGGGGTATTTTGTATGAAAATACATTTTAATGTATCTCTGCTTACATCTGCTTTTACTTTCACTGCCACACCAAATCTAAATAAAATCTAGGTCAGGTAGGCAATTCTCTCCTCTGCGTGGCAAATAATAAATGAGCAATTACTTAAACCTGCCGTGCTTGGTGTCCCTGTGCTTCCACCCCACGCCTGCAGGGGGAGCTCCTGAATCCATGCCGCTGTGACGGCTCGGTGCGCTGCACCCACCAGCCCTGCCTCATCCGCTGGATCAGCGAGCGCGGCTCCTGGAGCTGTGAGCTCTGCTACTTCAAGTACCAGGTGTTGGCCATTAGCATAAAGAACCCGCTGCAGGTACCTCCTAGCTGCCGCCTGCCCTACCCACCCACCCACTGCCACTTAGCTAACGCTAATGCTAACACCAACCCGTGCCCCTCCTCGGCAGTGGCAGGCCATCTCCCTGACGGTGATTGAGAAGGTGCAGATTGCCGCCATCATGCTGGGCTCCCTGTTCCTCATCGCCAGCATCTCCTGGCTTGTCTGGTCGTCGCTCAGCCCGTCCGCCAAGTGGCAGCGGCAGGACCTGCTGTTCCAGATCTGCTACGGCATGTACGGCTTCATGGACATCGTGTGCATTGGTGAGCATGTGCCTTGGGGGCCACGGGGGGCCACGGGGGGCCACAGGGGCCATGCAGTCAGTATTACCCAGCAGACCTTTCTGCTTAGTTACTGGCTCCACACCCAGCTGGGCCTACCGCAGTAGCAGCCAAAGTTGTTTGGTACACAGCAACGGTGGTCAGCGGCCACATATGTGGCCACAGACGGTCACTACACTAGGGAGGGCTGAGGGTAAATGCATCTTCACGACGGTATTCAACCTGCCATGTCCTCTCCCTTCTCCGCCCAGGCCTCATCATCCACGAGGGATCTTCTGTGTACCGAATATTCAACCGCTGGCAGGCTGTCAATCAGCAGTGGAAAGTGCTGAACTATGAAAAGTCTAAAGACCTGGGAGACCCCTCCAGTTCTGGGGGCAAGTTCGGGGGGAGGGGCTCTCACCGGAACCCCCAAGGTTCGGCCAATGGGAGCTCGGAGATGGGGCGGGGCCAGCGCGTCAGGACTATTCTGCACGACCACTGCGGCTACACCATAATGCACATCCTGAGCCAGCTGCGGCCCACAGACCCCCGCGTCAGTGCTGCTGCCAACCGGGAGGTGGTCATGAGGGTCACCACCGTGTGAGGAGCGGGCACACGGCCAGGATGGCGTGGGGGGGGGCTGGGACAGCGCTGCAGGCGCAAGAGCCTTCCCTGTTAACAGATAAACAGGACAGAACCATTTTTCTTCAGGATATTAAAACTTTTCCGATCTTGACTCAGAAAAGCAAAGATCATGTGCAGAAACGTGTATAAACTGTATATATATATAAAAAAAAACGACAAAGGACCAGAATACTATTTATCACTGGCGTTTTAATCTTTGCTTTTCTTTTATATGACGTTATTTGTACGGGTTTCGGTTTTATAATGTTTTCGGGAAAATAACGGTCTCATACACTCCAGGTGCACAGTGCCCGCGGCGCATAGGTGCCGTGAGTCCGCTGGTCTCCAGCAGGGGGCGGACCTGCGACCCGCAGTGACCGCTGCAGTGTGGGGACAGCGCGCCTCTGTTCCGGTACATCTCACGGGTTACGCTCTGGCTCTCACTGTGTCCCGCGTCGGAGGCAGAATCCTGCCGCATTCCTGTCTCACTGCAGATACCGGCTGCTTGTCTGAATAAACGGTATGTTTTTGCCATGAGTTTGTGAGTCAGTCACTACGGAACAACGAAAACCGTTCAAGGCTGCAACTGATTGTGCGTTTTAAAAAGGATGTTATACGGCCGTGAAATGATGTTGGCGCAAAGCTAGCCGGAGTTATTCCAATGCACTGCCCCCTCCTAACTCATCCATTCATTCTGTTCATTGCTGAAGTAACGACTTTGAATTGCTGCTGGACTGTGAGCGCGTGGCCGGGTTTTCCTTAGGGGAATACACCCCAATTAATACCCCTTGCGGGGCACCCCAATGCAGTCAAATGTCATTTTAAAAATGAACCTTTTTTATCCTGACTGTTTTGTTATTATATTTAAGATGTTTTCAAGTTTGTTGGGGCTGAGTCGGGAATCATACATTAAAGTCTACGTGAAGTCTCCACTGTTATGGGTAAACATTCGTGTGTGTGTGTGTGTGTGTGTGTGTGTGTGTGAAGGCTGGTGTCCAATCCGAGGTATCCCTAAGCGCAGAACACCGGCTCCTGGAGGACATATACATTTCAAATGCAGCTTAACAATCTGACCGCAGATGCAGACTCTGCTGGTGTCTATTTCAGAGAATGGCTCCCTCACATCCGTCATCATCAAAATAGAATCGCACTGTCCCCAAAGCCTCCGATGTTTTAAAATACCAACAGAGTATTGTAGCAGGGTTTAATCGGAAGAGCCGCATTCATTCACAGCACGCCTTGTTTTTCATTACATGCCTTAAGTTTGAACCTCAATAGTATGCAGTGACTGTTGTGGCCATTAGAGGGAAGCAAAACCTTTCAATGACTGGAAATCTATCGGTTAGTTTCTACAGAATGTTGTTTCCTTGCATAGAAACGTCAACGCAGTGATTGATCTTTCTTCAGGGGTACAGCTGATATTCACATACCGAAACGCACATACTCTGATTTAAGAGCTGGAACTAGTTTGACATTTATCCAAAAATCCATTTTCCATACCCACTTGTCCTAAGCAGGGTTATGGCGATGACCCCAGAAGCTACCGGTACGAAGCAGGGAATAACCCAGGATGCAGGGCCGACTCATTGCAGGGAACGCACCCCTCTATGGGGAGAACATGCAAATTCCACACACATGGAAGCAGAACAGAGACTCGAACCCCAGTCCTAGAGGTGCGTGGTAACAGTGCTAACCACTGCGTCACCCCAGCACCAAAATTACAATATAAAACCTAATATAACACCTACAGTAATTATCTGGCTATTTTTTATATTTGATATATGCCATATATTTCTAGAATTTACCACATAAAATACCACATACTTGAAATAATCAGTGTCACATTTCCCTCAGTAAACAGTAACTGAACACAGTAAACACAGAGTATGTGTCACTGTAAGCATACAGACTGTCTTGTTTCCAGCTGGAAATCATGGCAGCGCTCTGGGGAAACGAACAAACAAATCACGGCACAGCCAAAATGATAACTTGGTAAATAATTCATGACTTTTTCCAGACAGTTAAAATTCCATCCAAATAACTGCCGCTAAGGAGTGGCCCTCGTTCCTGGAGCACGGACATTTTATATCAAGAGGCAAAACATAAACATCTATAAATTAAATCAAATAAAATAACAGCGCAGGCAAAGGAAATAGGGGACGTGAAAATCGGGCAGTTGGCGGTTTTGTTCTGTGGGCTGTACTGTACGCAGAGGAAGATCAGGCCGCCTGACGCTTGTTTTCACCCTCGCTGGCGCAGTCGGGTCTCCTCCAGCCCTGCCCAGCACAGACCTGACACACCACACGGCTCTTAGAAGCACTTTCTGCCACCGACAGAAGACATTTCTGAAGACCCTGGATGCCGGTCAGTCTTGACTGGGGACAAAGACGTTAATCCGGGTAGGGGGCTGCACCAAACCACAGGTGCACCACAGCAGGGAGCCCCTCCCAGTCTGAAAAACTCCAGCCTGGCCAGAAGGACGCTGGGGAAGTCTGACTCCACCCCTCCACCCCTCCCACACGTGCCCCAGGGGAGCCTCCCTGTCCTGCAGAGAGCTTGCAACTCCAGTATTAAATGAAATGAAACTAAATGAAGCTTTATTTCCCATCTGATCTGTACAAGTACATCGGAATGACTTCGTTTTTGCATATCGTGCTCTGCTTTTTAAGACCTACACGCACATATATAGGTGAGAGTGAAGCTTGGGGTGTGAACACAGGGCCAGCCATCCATGCAGCCCCCCTGGGGGGTGTTTCACTGCGCTAAGGGCCTCGATCAAGGGCTCACTGGAGATGTGGTGACTCTGCATTAGTATGCATTAGTCTGACTATGAAAGCTTTCTCTCTGTATCAAAGGGAACTCGATACGGACCTGGGAAATGACCTTTACAGAATGACCCAGTTACTGACTCCGCACCAGCATCAGATCAAACAACAATGGCAGCATTGATGCTGTTTATACCGTGCAGGCGAGAGTGTCCTTTCACAAGAGACATTTCAGACCTGCTTCACATGAAATAGCCTTTGTGCTGCAAAGAAAGCAGGAAACGTTTGAGGTAACCAGAGTGGGGTGTGAGGCATGTGTGTGTCTGTGGAGTGGGTTCTGGGTTCGAGGCCTGATCCTCTGCTTACAGATAAGTGGAATGGGGTATGAGGTATGGGTGACAATCATGGGTTTGATACCTGAGCCTCTGCTTACTGAGCCTGTGCTGAGGGGTCTGGGATTTGGGACCCATCCTGTCCCTCATCACCCTGTCCATCACCCCTTCCTCCCCTCCTCCAGAGCAAGGGCACAGCATGAAATTCTGGGACCCCCAGACAAAATGTCACCTTGGGTCAAATACCCGCCCCCCTCCCCCCCCCCAAATCCCCACAGAGTCCTGTTAGGGCTCTTCAGTGCACCAGGCTGCCTTTAATATCAGCTACATTTTTTACATTTACATTCATTTAATTTAGCAGATTCTTTCATCCAAAGCGACGTACATATTTTTGGAGAAAGCAGGTCAGACAGTCCCTGGAGCACCTGGGATTTAAGGGCCCAATGGAATTGTACCAGCAACTTTCCGATTGCAGGCAGAGCGATATCTGCTGTCTGGCCAGCGTGGCGATATGCTCAAAGAAACAAGGACCCCGTGTGGCCGAAAGAGGAAATGCAGGCAGGGGCCTCTCCTTCCAATGAGTCTCTGCTAGAATCCTCTCAGCCAAAACCAAAAGCAGTACTGAGTCACAGCATCAGTGAGTCATGCAGCGGGGTGGGGGGAGGGGGGGCATCCTGGCCTGACAAGCTGCCATCAGAAAGCAGCTTTTCCATTTCATATTTCTTTCCTTTTCTTTTTATAATCCCTTTAAAGATGCAGGAGATGATGCAAACTCAATATATAATTATCTACTATCCTTAGTGCACATGTTAGTTTTGGTTGAGCTGCAAGTGGTAGGTGAATGGAAGGGTTACGGTTAGGGTTAGAGGTTAGGGTTAGGGTTAGGGTTAGAGGTTAGGGTTAGGGTTAGGGGTTAGGGTTAGCTTTTCTGCAAAACAGCTGAACCCAATGGGGCACACTGCTCCTCGTTACAAGGGCAGGCAAACAGGATCTCTATGGAATCAACCCTAAAATGACTAGGAGAGGCAGACAGATCATACCTCCCAGCTGGCTTAGGGAGGCCCAGGGATCCAGCAGAATGCGCAAGAATCCATAGCCTGGGACACAGAGAGGTCTAACCAAGCCTTCGCCTGGAGGGACATGAGGACGAGGATGGTCACGGCTTCTGGGTAAATGTGTCTCTGTACACATTGTGCTGTGTCTAGCAGTGTAATGTTAAACCACATTTCCCTTCTTGCCAGTCTGTCACTACATGACCCCCAGCTGGCTGCACTCAAACCCTGACAAGGGCCCCTTGAGCATCCCTACGCTACTGCCTGACATGGTGAATCAGCCGGCTGCAGCTGTACCTGATGCTGGTGGGCTTTGGGACGTCCAGCATATCTACACACATCTACACAGCATATACAAGGCACACCCGCTACTCAGCAACACACCTAGCGGCAGGATTACTGCTCCACATCTACATGCAGGATGCACACAATCTGAGCGTGATTTTCTTGTGTCGTGCAGATCCTGATCAGGTTTGGACCAAGGCCAAATCCAGGTGGTTCTGTAGCGAAATCGACCTTCTGTTTGTATTGTGCTGAACAGGACAGACGTCAGGACAGGGACTGCGTCTGCTGGAGTCTTAGCAAAGGCTGCGTGAGGAAAAGGCTGAGATCAGAGGGCATCCCCGTCAGGGTGTGGGCAGCGGGCATCACCGTCAGAGTGGGGATTTTTTACTTCATTTATGTTGTTTTCATAGAAATGTCCATTATTGCTACAATGAAACATAGGCATAGATTAAGACCCCCTCCCCCCATGTTGAGATGGGAGGATCATCCCCCTATGAATAATATCACATATTTAGAATTTGGTGATTAGTGTTGACACCCCACAACAACGAAACATGCTGTTGGCCTTAACCACTCCGCCACATATGGCGAACATATAAAACCATCTTTACAAAAACACATATGATTAATATAGCAGAAGCACAGAGGCACAATTCAGCTTGTTTGTAAACTTAACTTATAGAAGACCTTGTATCATGACCAACAGTTAATCAATGAAAGGCTATGTGAAAAGGTGGAATTTAGTCATCTCATGTTGATTAAGGTTCATAAAGATTATCTTATTTGATTGTGCAAACTGCAGCTAGCTTGGTTAGTTAACAGTATACAGTAGCACAAATAGCAACGCTGATAACAGAGCGGTACATAAAGTTTCTGTCAGTCACAATTCTCATCCCACTGTGTTTGCTGTTATGGCAAAAGAACAAGTAAGAAGCCCGTCAAGAAACGGGGCCAGACCTGGCATTTATTTTGGAAAATGCCATAAAGTAAGTTACTTGATTACCAGAAACTCAGTTCATAAATAGTGCTGGCAGAAAGTCCAATTTATTACCAAGAAGAAGTTTAGTAAATCTCCTATATTTACGTCTATGGGTCTCTTG